CTTGCATGTTCTTTTACGCAAAAAGAAAAAAAAAACAGTATATATTACTCGCACAGATAACGAATGAATGGGTAATCTATGCAACAAATGTCTCAATGATAACTGCCAAAACATGTATACTACAATGTAACATAATTCCAGATTCCATAACGAGCCCTCTAGTTCATTATGGTCTCGTAAGATCACTATAACAACACCCCATTGATAACCGATAATATAGTCGCACATGTCTAGATACGTCAACCAGATCTTGAGGAAAGCTTTGCAGGAACCTCAACAATAATTACTATTAGTAAAGTCAACTTATGTGTCCTCTGTAGCATCATACCATAGACCCAGCTTAAGCAGTACAACGGAACGTGAATGCTCATAATGTTACATCATTTAATTGCATTGGGCGATCCAATATATGTTACTTTGCCTAGTTATTCAAGTTAAGTTTAGTTTGCTTTAATTAACATTAATTATTGCAACTCCTATAAGTGAGGAAACCGTTAAACTGTACAATTTTTTTTTTTTTTTTTAAAAGCCACGGTACTATCAATGTTAGTGATAGATCTGTGACGTTTGTATGATAGCAGCTCCTGGCAAGCGATGCGAAAACACTTTATTGGCTCAGGTACAACCTTAAATTACAGCCCTATACTAACACTAAAATACTAACATACTAATATACCAGATTACTCTGGATAATGCGACACATGAATATGTCACTAAGGTCATATTTTCTGATGATGATACTTTCTTGTGAAGTTAAGTTACCATTTTTAAATTCCTCTTGTATTTTTGCTTGTACTGATATATTATAATATGCTAACCGGCTAAAGCAATGCCTAGTCCTAGATAAACATGGTTTAATGTTGGGTTTACCTCTTGGGTTCACGACTTAGAGTTCCCAAAATGACCAAAATATACCCTTTTAATATTGAGGACAAATGTAAATACTTTAGTTCTTTTTTTTCTCCCCCCACCCTAGGTTCTCCTTACCTTTTATCCTGGTTAATTCCACAGATAATTTCTTACATGGTACATACTCATTACCACTGCTAATTACTTCCCATTTTAAATTATGAATAGTAAGGTGAATGATATTTGGAACAAAATAACTGAACACTCAACATGGATATGTTCATAAGTTATCCCGAAAATACATTTTATATTCTTACGCTTAATAAAACCCAGATAAGGTACTAAGCACTACCATACAAGTAGAATTTTGGTATAAAAGAAGATGAACGTTTTGTGCCTTAATGTTGACGGACTTAATAACCCCTACAAAAGAAGGCAAGTTCTCAAAGATAAGCATTCATCAAACGCAGCGATTGTTTGCCTGCAAGAAAAGCATTTTTTTAAGTCAAATCCACCACAGCTTGAATCGTCAAAATACCCCTTAGCTTATCACGCTTATGCACAGAATAAATCGAAAGGTATTGCCATATTATTCCATTCTGACTGGACATTCACTCTGCTAAATCAATACTCAGACTAAGCAGGTAGGTTATGCTCCCAACGAAGCTCAATTTCCCTTTTTAAATAAAGTGATTAAAAAGATAACCCGTATGAAACAAGGCCATGTAATAATGTGTGAGGACTGCAACTGTACTCTAGACCCATCATTAGACACCCAACGCATTCTTAACAAACCCCCCAGCAAATCCTCCAAAACATTTTACCAATCTCATACATTCTCATGACCTTTATGACTCCTGGAGAAACTTATTTCCTGCAGCAAAGGATTACACATTCTTTTCAACAGTTCACACAACTTATACACGGATAGATCTTTGTTTGATAGACAAATCCACACTACCTCATCTCCTTAACCAAACCATAGGACAACGGACGTGGTCCGACCACGCTCCAATATTAATTACATTAGAAGTACCATACCCAACCAAAGGACGTAGCAAATGGAGACTAAATGAAGCTATTCTTGACTACCCCTCGAATCACGATAAAGTAGCACGAGAACTCAATTATTTTAACACCAATTCAACCACCGACACATCTCTAGAAACCCAATGGCCGTAATTAGAGGGGAATTCATTAAACTAGGTTCTACCATCAAAAACCAAACTCTGAACTCTTAAACAACACTACTAAAAAAGTTATGGCACTGTGTTTTTGAAACTTTATTGAAGTCTACCTATATGTCTGTAAATACAAGCTGTTAAGGTATTTGTGACATTTCTTGATTTACGATGTAACAGAATTACCTTTTGTAACTGGTATATTGTATATGTGAAATTCCTTATGTTTGTATGTTGTTATATAATTGCAAAAAAAAAACACAATAAAAATCATATATGGAAAAAAAAAAACTGCACCAGCCACCACAGAATAAAGTTACATCCCTAATTAAGCTCTAGAGTACAATGTTACTGATGACAATCATCTTTACTTATGTTACAAATAAATTTGATTCAAATAAACATTTAAAAAATTGCATTTAAGTTGTATTATATTTTTACAAGCAATATAAAAAATGCTGTTCAGTGATTTCTATTGTTTGCCGTAGTTTGGTTTTATAATTACAGTACACCAGTATATTGTAATTATAAACATTTAATTTACTGAGAACCTTTAGTAAGCAGTTTGCTAATTAAGTCACAGTTATTTTGAGGTAATAGTTTCAACAACTGGAGTAGATAATCCCTTGAGTAACAGTAATTTCCTCTCTTTATTACAACATTTTCCACTTGTCAAAAATGATTACTAAGTATGTATGCTATTATGGATTATAAATGTAATGAGTAAAAGCACAAATAATTGTATCTAATTATTATATATTTTTAAATTAAAAACACACACTGCATTCTAAAAACAAAACAAAAATATGAAATTTGCAGCATTTCCTATCTCTATGATCCACATGTAAATAGGCTTTAAGGAAACTCCAGAGCCCAAATAATTTTTTTTTTATTTTTTTTTTATATTATTTTGTACATGCATGCATTTAATTATGGATTTTTTGGGGGTATTTCTAACAACAACAAAAAAGGTTTGCAGAATATACTGATTACTTGTCTACAACCTTTGCAAGCCCTCCCCTTCCTCTACAGCCAAGACCTCTGTGGCTGTCCAATTACAGACCTCCCAATGCAGCTCAATGAAAAGTCTTTGCAAGGCAAGTGCTCTGGGCAATTGTCTGCCTCTTGAAACTAGTTCCACTGACCAAACCAAGCAGGCAGTACAGGGCTGGTTATCTAATTGACAGTTGGTTGATGTAACATGGTTTATTTATAAATGTGATAATTTCTACTGAATTCTGCAAGCTGAAGTGCTTTAGGTGTGTGAAGTGTTTCTATAAATGCATTTCTCTAACCAAACTGAATAACTCATTGGTTGATAATTGAACTATCGTTTGGTGAAAATATATGTTGTTGCCTAAATATTTTCCGCATCTGCGAGTTAAACAAAGTAAACAATGTGCTAAGATAATAGGTATATTCAACAAAAGCATAAGCACAAAACTATCTGAGCAATGCTCCCATACACATTTCATTTTTGATCAATGTTTATATATCACTATTTTGAGTAGAAAAATGATTTTTGAGTGGCAATATAATTAAACTTTCTGTAGAATATTTAAAAACTTCTCTATCGTGCTCTTAGCCATTTATTTTTCTCCTTTCTCTGTTCCCTCTGTCTCACTTTGTGTATGTTGCTGTTTGGTTTGTATCTCAGAATTATAGCCTATGTGATTTGAATGGTTATTGCTCATGCTATCACAGAGCTCATTTTGTTTAACTGGTTGCTGTTTTATGTTTACATTATGTATACAGCTCTAGCTTAACATGTGTTATTTATTAATAAAGGTAATCCTCAATTGACATATTTAGTATTGTTCTACTGCACAGATCTGCTTGATACTTATGGCAATGCAATTTTTGACCTATGCAATTACTATCAGAAAAGAGATATACGACTAAGGAGTGGTTGTTGTATGGTCTCTTGAATGATATCTTTATATCGTTTAGATCTTAGTGGTTGTTATTTTCCTTTTGTTATCATTTCCATCTGGCCATTTCTTTCTTGTTTATATAAATGGGATTCTACAGCAATCTGCATGTTTGGAGGTGTCAGAAATTGTTTCTAGAAAGAGTCTCGCAGCGATATCATGCAGCACACACTGAGCACAACTGACCTTAATTAATAGTAAATTACTTTTCTGACTGCAGGTAGGCAGCTGTATTTCAGGTGATTGCTTTGCCAAATATGATTTGAGAACAGTGAAAAGCTCAAATAGAATGGAAATGTTATTTCTATGTTGTGATTTTATATACCGAAAATGAAACAATAGTTTGTGATATGTAACAGTTAGATTTCAATATTTGCAACATTAAAATGTACGTGAAATTAAATTATTAAATTTTATGTTTTATTAGTATGACCCTGCAGTAGTCCACTACTTTTGACCTGAAAACTTTTGTTATCTATACTAAACTTGTCCTGCTGAGGATCATGGGCATTTTAGATGAATAACATCTGGAAACGTCTGGCTCACACACCTACATAAAATCACACACCTGTTATGCTTGGCATTTGCGGCAGTCACCTAAATAGACGTTTCATTGTAAATGGTTTACTCTAAAAACATTTATAAATTGTGGGGAAAAAATATTGTATTCAATATTTTTTGATGATCAGCAATATCATAAAATAGAAGTACATCTGCTTTTTTTTGTGATAACGTAGCTTGAAAATATGTTCCTGTACAACATCTCCTATTAGGCTCAGCTGACTTTAAATGGCAGCTCTTTTAGCTGAAGTTTGTTGGAAAATTATGCAGTATGCTCCATGTGGCTATGTTTTTATAATTATTGAAAATATATTAAGAGAAAAAAAAGAGTCATTATTTTGGTATTTTGTTTATTTTTGTAATTAAATATTTAATATAAGCATTTTTAGGAACGTGGACTCTGTCATGTTACTCATTAGTGATCTCCTTTAACTACATAGAATGTTCATTATGTAATAAAAATGTGTTTGTTTTATAGGCAGAACAAGACAACGGTCACCCACTTCCGGCCTTTGCTAATCTTCATATCGATATTCTAGATGAAAACAATCAGGCTCCCTACTTTACTTTTACCACATACCAAGGCTTTATACTAGAGTCGTCACCTGTTGGAACCACTATATCTGAAAATCAGAATTTGTCAGTTCCATTACCAATTATAGCCCTGGATAATGACATTGAAGAGGTACGCTTACATTTTGTCTTTATTTTCAGAATTGCAGTTTTGTTTGTGAAAATCACCATCTTATTGATGCCATATGCTCCATACTTAGCCTTTTATTATGCTGATATTCACTCACATATATTTCATGTAATATAAAGCATGGTTTGGTGTTGTATGGGAGGTAAATTAGACCAACAATGATTTATTGTGTTTACAATTACTAATGTTAAACCCCAGAGAAGACCATCTATTTAAAGGAACACTGTAGGCATCCAGACCACTTCATCTCAATTTTATAGAAACTGAAATGTTTGCATGCAGTGCTAAGACTGCCTCTAGTGGCTAATTGCAAGAGAGTGACTAGAGGTGCTTCTTGCAGTTTCATAGAATTTAAATCAGCACTGAAATCCGTTATGTATTTAAAATTTTTCCTAACCCTTTACTTGGCTGGGGTAGGGGGGAGGTGGGCAAATACAAAGGGACATTATAGTGTTAGCAATACAGCCTTGTATTCTTAACACTATAATATTCATTTAAGTTTACATGTGTACTGACAATTGTTTCCTTGATCCTGGGGGCAGAGTATTGCAGAGCCAGTACTCCAATAGCTATGTGGACCATTTAGAATTCAGAACAAGAGTGGGGGCTAAATAAACCAGCTCATAATTGCAATTTAAATTGAAAGCCTTGGTGAGGCCCGACCAATTCCATTCTCAGGGACCTTACATTACCCTAATGTAATGTATGGTTAGCCCTACTAAGTTCTATGCTTTAAGACATTATAGTGGTAAATAAGGGAACCACCAGCGGTTACAACATTAACCCCCTATATTACTCTAACACACCACATTATCACTAAACATTACCCTTATGTTACGCTAACACTAGACAACAACCACTACACTGAACATTAACTCCTACAGTACCATACTACGAACCATTATTCCTACCAGTACCTTAATGCTTGATGTAATATAAAATATATTTAAAGATGAAGGATGTATAAGTGGACATTAATGCCATTTTAGGGTTCTGGAAACATTTATAAACCACTCAACATTCATTCTTTCAGTTTATTGTGTCTCCAGATAACATTATTTCAACAGTTTACTGTTTATTGTTTACTGTTATAATTGCACTCTCTCCTCACACACACATGTGGTAAACAATGTATTTAACCACAGCATTAAATAAATTATATTACATGTTAGAGACAGATGAAGTGTCACATCCAAAAAAAAAAAAAAAAACGGAATGTATGTGGTCCTTTTTGCTCCCATTAGGCCCCTAGAAAAAGAGCAATAAAATCTGCTGATAAAATATATTTCTTTTTCACTTTTTATGATCTACTGTTTGTCTCTTGTGGCAAACTTTCTGAAAATAACATCTCACAGTGTAAAAAGACAACTGGCCTTATATTTTCTCAATACAGGTTTACAGAATTTTTGCAAAAATCCAAACCTCAATAACATATGCACAAATTATGAAGAGATATGGGGATTTCCTGTCATTCACCACTAACAATGGTCTGCGGTTTTATACAATGGTTTCCCTATAAAATTTTATAAATATAGCTATAAGCTTTTGTGATAAGGTGAATGGGGTGGTTTGTGAGAGAGTTTATATTTCTACTCCATTGTTCAGAGAGGCATATGACATTTAACCCCAGTGGGAGTATGTGCTGTGTGTATATAACTTAAATGAATGTTTAGATATGGGCACCTGGGGTGGAGCATTTGGAGACTAGGGCAGGCCGGAGCTCAACTCCTCAGTTTTTACACAACTGGGAGAAATAAGGTCCCGGCCAGGGTTTTGGACTGTCTCCAACCCACTGCTCAGCTGCAGGTAATCAGCTGCAGCAGTGGGAATAAACCCCTCCCTACTAGGCAGGTAAAGGTGGATTCCTGGCTTCCTCCCTGGAAGCAGGTAGGAGAGATTCTGTTCTCTCCTGTGACAGAGTCAAGATTTAAGGTGACTGAACACTGGGAGTGCGGAAGGATAACAGTCAAGGTGACTGAGCGCTGGAGTGGAGTGTTGCTTTTTAACAAGGTTCGTGAAACCTATGAGTTGTGTTGCTGTTTCCTGTGTGGATTTACCAATAAAGTGCCTGGATTATGTGAAAACCAAAGGACTGAGCATGTTGTTAACCCTAGAGGACCATGCTAACTGCAAACAAGGATCACACTTTGCATTTTGAAAATATGTGTACAAATGTCTATTGCTGTTAAATAAGCAAACTGCTAATGATGTATTGTCTTTTAATTTAAATTTGATTTATATCAATATGGAACATACCTTAAAATGAATATCACTAAACAAATAGCCTTAAGAGTTACAAATGTAATACAGGCTATTAATACCACCCTCATGCTTTCTGTTTACTAATTTACCAAATTAGTTTGAAACCTTGAATCCTGACTTTATTGCAAACTTGTTAAATTTAATAACAAAACATTTTTTGCTACAATACTAAATTGTTATGTATTCAATATGCATCTGGAACAAAACAGTTGAAACTCATTACATACATTTTTAATATGAAAATAAATTATAAACATCCAAGAACTATACATTTAAATGGACATTAGGCATTTTATTAATCCAAACACAATCTGATCATCTTCATAATTTAACATTGTATTTTCTTTCTATAGCCTAGCAGACAAATTCATAAAATGCACTTACAGCATCTAGTACAAATTTCACACAATGAAAAATAAAATAAATTCATGAAAAGCATTTTCATAAACCATTACTGCTATAATCAATAGAATTCATATAGTGTCCATGGACCATGACATATACAATGAGATTAAGCAGCTATGGTAATTGGAATGTCATGTTAATGAAAACCTATTTAAATATCACAGACTTCCTTTGAATATGCCTAGAGGAACACTCTAGCATTAGGAATACAAGTATTACAAGTATACAAGTATTCCCGACACTAGAGTGTTATAGTAGCTATTTAGATTGTTGTCCCATTTCCAGAAGTAATAATAAAAGAAAATGTACTTGCTCACTGTGATTAGCTTATGATCTCAGCCAATTAAATGCTTCCCCATAGATAAGCATTGATGAGCTGTTGAGCTTGTGCATCAATCACAACACTGCATCCAATCAGTATCTCCTCATAGAGATGCATTGAGTCAGTACATCTCTTTGGGGAGTGTTTAATATCTCCAAGCAGAGCGTGGTGTCATTGAATGTTGGTCCTGCAATCTTTGCAAGTCCTCAACCAGGAAGTTCCTCTAGTGTCTTTCTGAGTGACCGTTACTAGAGGTGGTTAGGCAGAAATGTGAGAGTCAGTTGTTGCACTTCTGAACCTGCAGGGAAAATCTCTTTTCCCCAGAACAACTATATTAAACTGTAGTGGTTATGGTACATAGTGTTAATTTAAGGCTATGCAGATTCTGTAGAAACTATAAAATTAAAAAAAGGAAAGAAAATGATTTAAATATAACAATCTGAGGAGGTTTATATTGGTCATCTTCTGTAGTGACATATAATATATATAATGCATCCTGGACAGGTTATGAAATGTAAGTGGCAAATTTGGGTCAGAATGGTAGGATTATGAAAACTAGACATGTGCAATTCGTTTAGTTCCGAATGTACATTAGTATGAATTTAATGCCATTCGGATGCTTATGAATGTCCAACGTGCCAAAGTCCCGAAGTGATGAAGATCGGTAGTTTGGCAGTGCCGAAGCGATTCGGATTTCTGAAAAGTGGCAAAACAAGAGAGATGGAGGGGAAATCATGTGAATGATGACAGGAATCTTGACCAATAAGCTAATTCCTTTTGTGCAATGTAATGCTTGCTGGCCTAATCTGGTTTCACTATTCCCTGTCCAATGAAATTAGCACATTTTTGTGATTAATGTTAGAGGACAGCAAATTAATGGTGATTTTGTCACTGACACTTGGCCAATGAAGGCACACAGAGTCATTGAGGTGGAATAGTATATAAATCAGACTGTCCGGGTGTTGACTTGCATTCATGTGACATAAACATGTGCAATTTGTTTCATTCCAAATGCACATTCATTCGAATTTCATGCCATTTGGATGCTTACAAAGCGCCGAAGGTCAGCAGTTCCCAAGTGCCGAACTGAACCGAATGCCATTGGTCTGAATTGCTGAAGCAGACACATTTGTTTTTACTTACCCGAATTTCAGAACCAAATTTTTTGCCTATGCACATCCCTATAGAAAACAATAATTGTTTTGTTATTGCCAGAATGTATAAATTGTATCCATAAATGGGTGCTGTCTCCATGTTTATTGCAAAGTCTCTAAACTGACTTGCAGTTTCTGACTATAGCACCTAATAGTCGAGGTAATATATTAATCTCCAAATGAGATTTGTGTTATTTAGCATTTCAATTGCAAAGCTTCAGCTGGAAATAATTAGATTTGTTCTTTTTGAGTCTATAAACATCCTTTAGTACTGGAGTCTTTTTTTCCCCTGAAATAATGTCAGCTTTCCAATCATGTTCTTATTCTTTCCTTTTCTAGTAATAGGAGAAAGGGGTAATCTACAATGAATGACATAGAGCATATATATTCATCATTATACCTTGCCTTTAAAAAAAGTTGAACTGTCAGTTCTCTGAAGTTTATATAATTGAATTAAACATTGAGATTATCACCTATAACTTGTGATAGCTTTTAATGAGATACTCCTTCTTTTATATTTACAGTACAGATTTAGCAATTGCATCATAATCCAGTTCAAAACAAAGTAGGGCACACCTTGCAAAAGCAAGATGTATACGAGAGGGCTTGAAACAATGATTGACAGGTAGCCAAGAGAAAAGTGCCCAGTTACTGAATAAGTTGGTGTGGATTTCTACGTTTATGTTTTTTTCACATCTCATATATACATGTATGTTGATTATAGGGATAAGCAGGGGCGTACCTACAGCATTTGGCACCCGGGGCGGATCCTGTGCTTGGCACCCCCCCCCCAAAAAAAAAAAAACCTCCTGTCAGCCCCTCTCTCAGGCTGCCGGCTG